ACACACAAGGCTCCGATGATGGGCAGTGGCTATGTGAGGTGCATTGGCCGGGAACTGGACTCGGGTCTTCTGCATGTAAGGTGAGAATTCCACCACTGAGCCACCACTACATGCACTTACATGTATTTAGCACCTAATATGTACCAGCTCCTGTGATAAGAACAAGCAGCCCTGGTGGCGCAGTGGTTAAAGCACTCAGTTGCCAACTGAAAGGCTGGTGTTTTGAACCCACAAGCCACTCCATGGGAGAAAGATGTGGCCGCCCACTTCTGTAAAGAGGTACAGCTTTGGAGACCCTATGGAGCAGTTCTACTCTGTCCAGTGGGGTCTCTATGATTCAACATTGACTCGACGGCAGTGGGTTTTGGGGTTTGGTGCTAAGAACTTGACCTAAATTGTCTCATAAAATTACCCCCAAACTTTATGGCGTGTGGATCCTGTTATTGCCCCTATTGTGGCCATGGTAGAAACAGAAGTTCAGAGAGTGTAAAGTGGACAAGGGCCCACAGCCTAGCTCTGTGAGGGCTGGCGGGAGAAAATCACAGTCCTCTGCTGGCAGTGTTCCCAAGTTCAGTGCCTCAGTGTGGCTCTAGACTAAGGGACAGGCCAGGTCCAAAGATTTATTTTGCAAAACAAACAGATTTCCAAGGCCACAGATTCATCTTGATTAGAACAACTGCAGGGCTTGAGGTGGTTTTCCATCTGTTCTGTGTTTTCAAGCAAATATTCCAGAAGTTCCCAAGGCTGGGCATGGATGGATCCACAGCAGCAACCACTAGGGGGCGACATGCACAGGAAGCCTCAGCCATGAAAAGTGAATAGTGCAAACTCATGTGGCCTGTTTGCCTTTCCTGTCCTGGCAGAGAGGGTTCCCTCCAAAGTGAGTTACTGCCAGTGCAGACGGCAGCAGGAAACGTCTCTTCAGGGAAGCTGTCTTCTCCTTCGCAGCTACTCCTTCAGTATCCAGATGACACAGGCCCCTCTGCCTACATCCCTCCCCACCGCCCAATGTTCCCAAAGTGGGTTCCCAGCAACACGCGTGTCAAGGGATGTTAAGAGGGTACTTGGGCTTCCTTAAAAGAGATCAGACATCAAAAATGTTTGGGAAATAACAGGTTAAACAGAGTTTAACAGATTTTATTACCAGGGGCTTTCTCCTCACCTTTAATTTGCTCACTTGATAATAAGCCATGATAATAACCAGTAACAGCCTTCGTGGCTCCATCAAGTTTCACACGCCTCATACTGTGATGCGTGGTTTGCATGTTCCCTCGTCAGATCCTTGTAACATCCTAGGAGGCAGGTGATATGATTGTTCCCATTTTGCAGATGAGAAAATAGGGGCTCAGAGAGGTTGAATGATTTGAAAGTGACAAGGCTAATAGGTGATGGGGCCAGGACTGGACGTCACACCCAGCCTGTCCCTCCCCATTAAGGAGGTGGCAGAGTAGGGGAGGTTGGGCATAGGAATCCCAGCACTGTTATCATTCCTCCTGCCGAACTCAGGGTCTGGAGGTTGGGGTGTTGTTGTTGTTGTTGTTAGCTGTTGTCGAGATCAGGTCCAACTCATGACAACCCCATGTACACACAACAGATAAAAGGCACTGTCCAGTCCTGAGAAATCTTCATGATCACTGACATATCCAAGTCCACTGCTGCAGCCACTGTGTATTTTGAGTGACTTCCCACCTCCAGGGCCCATCTTCCGGCATTCCACGAGGCAATCTCCTTTTCCCACTGGTTCTCACCAGCTAATTTCCAGAAGTGGGTCCCCAGGCCTTTCTGTCTAGTCTGTATTAGTCGGCTGAAGCCTGTCCATCATTTGAAAGCCCACTGGCAAAGCTTCCAGCAACACAGCAACACCCAAGCCATCACAGTACAACCAACTGGCAGAGGGTGGTAGGGAGCTTAAATGTTGTTATTGTTGTTAGATGCTGTCAAGTCATCTCCGACTCATAGCAACCCTATGTACAACAGAACAAAACACTGCCCAGTCCTGTGCCAGCCTCACAATCCCTGTGTACATGAGCCCATCTCTGCGGCCACTGTGTCAATCCATCACTTTGAGGGTCTTCCCCTTTTTCGATGACCCTCAACTTTACCAAGCATGATATCCTTCTCCAGGGAATGGTCCCTTCTGACAATATGACCAAATAGTGAGACAAAGTCGGGCCATTCTCGCCTCCAAGGAGCATTCTGGCTGTCCTTCTTCCATGACAGGTTTATTGGTTCTTCTGGCAGCCCATGGTACTTTCAGTATTCTTTGCCAACACCACAACTCAAAAGCTTCGACTCTTCTTTGGTCTTCCTTATTCTTTGTCCAGCTTTCAAATGCATAGGATGCAAGACATCTTTGCTCTTCAGCAGTTTGATGAGGTCTTTGGCAGCAGATTTGTCCAGTGCAGTATGTTGTCTGACTTCTTGACTGCTGCATCCATTGGTGTGGATTGTGGAACCAAGTAATATGAAATGGGAGGTTGAATAGAGAGCCCTAATGGGAGATCAAGGACCCCAGAGGGATTTGGGCCTGGCCCTCTCTGAGACTCTCCCCCAGAGAAGGTAGCATAAACCAAGAGGCATTGGCAGGACAGGGACAGTAAGCCCGGTTTGGGTAGAAAAACAGCTTCCAAGTGCATGCTGTTGACCTGCCTTGGAATATTTTCTAAATGCATCAGACAACAGGCTGATAGAAGCACAGAGGTGCTGACTGCCTCTAAACACTGCCACGGGGATCATCGCAGCTTTGTTTTCACAGAGCAGAGGAAAAAAAGTTTATGCCTCAAATTAGCAGGTCTGTCATGTTCCAAATTGTTTGTTTTGCTAAAAATGGACTTTGACATGTGAATAGTTATTATCTAATGCCAGACCCGGAAATCTGTCTCTCTCCAGACAATGACTGGGTAGTCAGGGGTTCTCGTTAGATGTGTCTGTCCGTAGTTCTCTCTCTCTCTCTCTCCCTCCCTCTCCCACTGTGGGAATACAGCGGCCCCTCACAGCTCAGGTTGCTCCTGAGCCTCTGGGACCCTGGTCAAACTCCCCTCTTCAGAACCTTCAGCCCTGAGGAAGATACGTGGAGGCCTAATCACAGGGCCCCAGAGACCCAGCGAGATTTCTCCACTGCAGCGGTTTTTGGAGTGTGGGGCCTGAAGCAGCAGTACTGGCACAGCTAGGAGCCTGGTAGCAAAACACATTCTCAGGCCTCACCCCAGACCCACAAGAAGGTCAGGGTGGAGCCCAGCCACCGGTGGTTTAGCAAGCCCTCCAGGTGATGCTGATGTACCTCAAGTAGATTCAGGGGAAGGACCCCTGGCGGAAAACCAACGGCCTACGTACAGCTCCCTCCTCCTCCCTCACATTCACTCTGTCACTCACTCATTCATTCACTCACGAATTAACCCTCCACTCCATTCTCTTCTCGCCACCCTCTACCCTCCCCGGTTCAGGTCACCATCCTCCCGGGTAACTAAGAGCCTCCCCACTCCAGTCCAAACCCATTGCCAGTGACTTGATTTTGACTCACAGTGACCCTCTAGGACAGAGTAGGAGTGCTCCGTAGG